GAGACCTGCTGGGGGCTGCCAGGACTGCCAGGGGCCTGCCAGAAACCTGGGGGGGACTTTGGAGCAGGAGCTGTTGGGACAGGACAAGGGGGGATGGTTGGAAACTCCAAGAGGGAGATTGAGACTGGAGAGGAGGAGGAAATTGTTGATTCTGGGGGTGTTGAGCCCCTGGCCCAGGCTGCCCAGAGAGGTGGTCTAGCTGCAGATGCTGCAGGGGGACTGGGGCTGGCAGAGGTTGGACTAGCTGACCTTTGATGGTCCCTTCTTACCCAAATCATTTCATGACTCCACGTTTATCCTTCCCCCCAAGCCTGGCTTCTCTGTTAAAAGGGGAATTTTGGAACTCAGGACCAAGGGCTTCTCTTGCATTGCCCGTTTTTTGGTTGGAACCTTGTGCCAAGCTCCTGTCCACCCCAAGACGAGCTCATCAGCCAGCAGCTCCCTAAAACATGACCAATACCCACCAGCCAAGCCAACCCCCAAGTGCCCCTCACCTGGTGGCTCCAGGTTTGACCCCCAGCATGTCCCAGCTGTCCTTGCTGTTGCGGATCCTGCGGATGGCATCTGCCTGCTCCCTGGTGAAGCCCACCCCCAGGCTGGAGGGGGGTCTCTTCCCCCCATTGTCACACAGGTCGATGATGGCCGAGTAGAAGGTCTGCAGACACAGGGAGGAGGAGGGAGGAGTGGTCCCCAAAGCTTGTGGCACAGCAGCCCCCTGAGGAACCACCCCCTGACTCACGAGGGAGCCTCTGGAGAAGTGCTCAGTGTTCCCTCCCTGCTGTCTGGGTCATGGGGGGGATGAGTGATCACAATTTTGGGGGATCCAGGCCCTGTAAGGACCACGGGGCAGAGTGAGGAGGTGGCCAAGCCTCATGTTGATCTCAGAGCCACTTCAGGTCAGGGCTAGTCCTGAACAGCAGCTCTGCTTCGTGGTGCCAGTGCAGTGAGAGGTCTCCTCAGCTCAGAGTAGTGGAGTGCTCAGGCCAGAGCAGGGCTGGGGGCAACTGCCCCAGAGCAAAGCAGGTTTCTCAGGGAGATGGTTTGTTGAGGAGACACCTCTGGGACAGAGGGTCAACAGGTTTGTGGAATCCAGGCAGCTAATTTCATGGGGGGCATGAAGAAATGTGGCCAGCAGGTCAAGAGAGGTTCTCCTCCCATTCTACTGTGCCCCAGGGAGGCCAACTCTGCAGTTCTGGGCTGTCCAGTTCCAGAGAGACCAGGAGCTACTGGAGAGAGTCCAGCAGAGGCTGGGAAGCTGCTGAGGGGCTGGAGCATCTCTGTGCCAGGCCAGGCTGAGAGCCCTGGGGCTGCTGAGCTGGAGCAGAGAAGCCTCAGAGGGGATCTGAGCAGTGCTGAGCAAGAGCTAAAGGGCCCCGGGGGGCAAGAGGCTGGGGCCAGACTCTGCTCAGTGGTGCCAGGGACAGGACAAGGGGCAACGGGCACCAACTGGAACCCAGGAGGTGCCACCTGAGCAGGAGGAGAAACTTCTCTGCTGGGAGGGTGGCAGAGCCTGGCCCAGGCTGCCCAGAGAGGCTGTGGAG